AGGCATCTGCAGAAGTACCTCCACCCGCCCCAGCTGCTGCTCAACATTCATCGAGTAAAAACAGTTCCCAACGAGCTGAAGCAGAGGAGCCAGTGGACCCTGATCCAATCCACGTAGTCTTGCCAGATGTAGACAGAGAAGCCAACCTCCAACTCGCTAATTTCCCGGAGCATGCCCAATTTGTTGACCCATTTGCAGAAGAACATCCAGCAATGCCACCACCTGTTGTACTGATGGAAACAGACAACCCCGAAGTATCACAACCTACTGAGTCAGCCGAGGAGTCACAATCAGAGATGCCACGGCAAGCTCCTTTGCGTAGGAGCAGACGTCGCCTACGAAAGGCATCTCAACATCAGGAGCCCCCGCTCCCACCTGCTCAAGAAGGCCCTAGCACTCCTCCAGCTACACCAGCTTCTGACTTCGAACATTCCAACCCCGCTAAACTCCGCAAGCGCACTTACCGTGCGACTACTGCACCACCACCATGAAGCCAAGGTACCTTGCATTGCATTGCATTCATAGCATGTAGTTTTCATTTTTTTTAGATTTAGTAAGCATTGGGGACAATGCTTCTCTTAAGTTGGGGGGAAGTAGGGTTCTCGCATCATTGTATGATAGTATTGGTAAAATGAATATGCCATGACATTAGTAAATATAGAATTAGTTTTCTGGAATTAATTGAGGATGCCCGATGATGAAGAATTCTTGATGGCTAGGATAGAATGTATATGACTGGTTGAGTATGATAGAACCAACTCTAGGACTTGCTTCTTTGAAACCCTTGATCACGAGTGTATGTTTTCCATGCTTGAGAAACTTAGAAATTTTTTATAAGAGAATTCTTAAATGTCGTGGCATAAAACTGTGAATGATGAAAACCCCGTCTAAAAAAAAGAAATAGAAGTTATAAACAAATGCCTTGGCATATCTGTAGAGGAACACTCCGCTATGTCTTGGCATATGAGTGAATGAAAGTAGTCACAGGATGACTCTACCTAACTAGCTCGGGGGTGAAAGGTATGCTCCCTTTCATCTAGAGTGTAGGATGGTAGAATGATGGGCTGACTCTCCTCGTAGCAGAAGTAATAAAAGAAAACAAAGGGGAATAGTAATATGAAAATGTCATGGTAAGTTAAGAAAGTTTGCATAGAAAATTTTTAGGTTTGTTAAGCATGGACTGGATACAAACACGCACACACCCACACAAAGAATCTTGTTCTAGGGGGCAGTACTTGAACTCTCAAACCTAGTCTAGCATGTTGAAGTCATATGTGTTGAGGGCTGAAATTTTATCCCATAAAACTATTCTACTTCTGAACTTGCCATGGTATTTTTGTTTTGCTTAATACTATCCATTGCTTGAGGACAAATAATAGCTTAAGTTTGGGGGTGTGATAACTCCGTAAAAGGTCACATTTTTGTACCTTTTTACTTAAGTTATTGAATGTCTAAAAGACCATTTAGAATCATTTAGATGTATTTAGGAGCATATATTTGCATGTGGTGGATTTCAGTTTGCCGTGGCATTTTATTTTTACAGCGGTGCTGCTTTATGGGAAAGGTACTTGTCTAATGATGTACAGGTGTTGAAAGCAAGGAAAAGAGGATTTAAAATGCCGTGACATAAGGATATTACTGCGCTAAATAAAAATGCCAAGTTCAAATGGCATTTCAGGAGCGTACAAGGAGAAATAAGATATTTTCTAGCCAGCTGTCCCGGATTTTACGCATGCTCTGCCCGAGATACCCACCGCAGCATGGCGCTTCAACCACCGGTTCTGTTGATGACGTTGCCTAGTCTGACCCTGCAGATCCTGTCGGTCCTAGGGCGCCTGTAGCGGGATTATACTAGTCTGCTCGACTCCCAAGCAACTCAACCATGGTTTTAGGGTTTCCTAGGATGGTTAACACCAAACCTTAGGATTTCTTTTCCCCTATAAATAGAGGAGAAAGCCATATTGAGAAGGACTTTAGTTCCAGCCACATTTGATCTTAAAAAGTTAGAGAGAGAAAGTCTCATCTTTCTACGTCAATCCCACTTGTCGTGGCATTTCTCCTTGACAAGCTGAAGGGAGTGGCGTTCTGAGCATCCGAGAGGAGCCAGTCCGCTAAGAGCAGCTCGTGGTGGCAGAGGGAAGCATTAGGCAGTGCACGTCGAAGGCTTTTTCTCTTCCCCTTAGTACTTGCTTTAATATTTTGTTGATTGGGTTGTAAGGAACGAATGAATCTTGCTTTGTGCTTGTTGATTTCGAACCCCACCATGAACTAATCCTATTTGGTGGGAGTTCGCATGGATGTTTAAGTTTTTGTTTTAATGAATGGTTGTTATTTCATGCTTTATTCTGTTTTTTTTTTTATGAGACTTAAAGCCTTAAGGTTGTAGGAGCTACGAGAGTAGCCTTTCCTTAGGAGGGTTCATGAGGTTCGAGAGAATGCCTTGGTAATCTATCTTTAGACTTCGAGAGAAGCTAGGGAGGAACTACATAAACAACGGGTTCTAGGTAGTAACTAGGCCTAATCCACCTTAGAGATAAGGCTAGGATTTCATTCAACTAAAAGGAGTTGGGTATAAACGATAGGTTAGATGTTAATGCTACCGCAAAAAGGTATTGCCGAGACATATTCTATTAGCTGAGTCAATAGGATCACTGCTTGGGCTTACGCCAATCGGTTTTGCCAGGGCATCTTTAGTCTGTCGAGTCCCTTACTAGAGATAGCATAGGGCACATCAGTAGACTCTGTCGGGCAGGGTAAACATAGAAGAAGCACTATTCAGAGAAATAGACTTAAGTTTTCCTTGCGTCTCCCATCACTCATTTTCATTGCTGCTTGTGTTTGTGAGAAAGCTAAAGTCCTACATATATTAAATCTAGTATTTGCATTTTATTTTGCCTTGACATTTCCATTTGTTTTCATGTATCACAATTTAATTTGCCACGACATATCCATCTGCTACCACACTATCACCATTCCATTTCCACTACGTCCATTCCATTTTGCCACTGTATTCTCATCTGTATATACCATAACTAACTTTACTTAGGTGACAAAGTAAAGTGCCTTGACAAACCTATTTGATTTCCCCAATTCCCTGTGGAGACGATACTCTACTTATCACTTTATTACTTGTTCGATTGTGTATACTTGCACACATATCCGCATCATATTTTAGTACTCACAAACAGCGGACAACATCAAGATCATTGGATTGGATGAATACCTTCATTAATTTCTTCCAATGATGACAATTGACTCCATTGAAGTATGGAGGTTTATAGGTTGGTAGGGAGTCTTCCATGTGGAACGAGCCGGAGGTGGAAGCCATCTTCTCGGTTGTGTAGGGAATTAGTAGAGCTTTTTATAGGATCGTCTCAAGGTGGTTAAACCTTCTTAACGAGTTAGGCTCTGATACCAATTGTTGGGATTTTCGGAAGCTCGAATCGACAACCGGAATGGTTTGCAAAGAGGGGTCGGAACGGTTTTGTGTTTAGGGAGCAAGGAGATTGAAAGATAGAGAATTGCACAGCGATTTATAGTGGTTCGACTTTCTCAATCAAAATCTACGTCTACTACCTTAGCTCCTCACCAAGGATTTTCCAACAAATTCACTAATTTGTTCTTTCTTTTGAGGATAAAGAGTAACCTTACAAACTCCCTAGTTTTTCCGGGCTAAACTAGAACATTTCCCTAGATTTTACACGATATTAGCTAGAACCTTTCCCCTTTACAAAAGGATAAGAAATGTAAACAAGAAAACCTCTCTAAGGTAGGTGTTTACAAGATTGAGCTCACAAGAACAAAATATATACAAGAGAAAGATCAAATAAGAATGAAAAACTCTTCTCTTGTGTTTGATTGCTTGGATAGTTGTTCTCTTACTTCTTCAAGTGTCCTTAGCTTGTATTTATAGCTTGGAATGTGTTTGAAGTCATATCTAGCCGTTAAGGATGTTTTGGAGCCGTTTGGGAATGATTTTTCTGTAAAAATAGGCTGCCTAGAATGGGGGGAATCGGTACCCCTTCATAGGGAATCGATACCCCTTCATAATATTCAAATATTATGACCGTTGGACTGATGAACAGCGAGGGAATCGATACCCTCAAGGGGGGGAATTGGTTCCCTCCGAGTAATCTGTTATTTCTCGGAGTCAAACCATGCAGGAGAGAATCTGTACCCGGGGAATCGATACCCCTGGGGAGAATCTGTTCCCGGGGAATCGATACCCCCTGAGGGGAATCTGTACCCTCTAGACAATCTGATTTTTCTTGAAACCCTTTAAAAAGAAAATATTTTTGGCTCGATTAAGGCTCGAAATACTTTGTAAAATTGTTTTAAAATAGTTTAAGTATAAAACACAATTTTACACTTTAGTAAGGATTAAAATGAACTTTGAAAGACTTGGAGTAATATTTTGATATTCGAATAATTATATCGAATATACTTAGAAAATCTTTTGTAAAATCTTAAAATTCATTTAACTTAATTTGTTATATTGAAACATCAAAATGTTTTCAACAAAACTCGATATATCTATCCAAAACCTCGATGAATCCAAAAACACTCTCGATAACCTTACAAAATTCATCTATACAACATATACTCTAATAGTTACAAAATTCATAACAAAAATTACTCTCTCGAAAATATTGTCTCTCATAATTCTCTAAAATAGTTGTAGAATAAACAAACTTGGTCACTAAAAATCTTTAACCTACAAGAATTTTTATCTAAATAAATTTAATCATAAAATAATACTCATTAAATTATATATATATAAATCAATTTAATTACCAATTAGATATAAATTAACATATATATAAAAAAATTAATTCCACAAACAAGATTAAAAAATCACAATGTTTACCTTTTTATTTGTGGACAAGGGAAAGGATTGTCCAGAGTATGAACCCGAGACCTAGTAATAATTAAGACTCGATTTCAAATTTCACGTTACGGAAAAAAAATAAAAACTAAGAGCATAGGTAATATCGATCGTATACACCCCATTTTGCAGATCTACATATAAATAAAATGTTCCAAATGTCTCCAATTGTATCAATATGATATATAATGCTCAACCTTAATAATTCAAGGCTAAACTACGTAAGAACATATACGAATTACCTATATATATACATATATATATATAAACCATCCACCTTCCCTTTAGAGTCGAGCAAGCATCATATATATATAGAAATTGATATTCAGCCTTCTTTTATGCATGCTCTCCCGAAGTGTTTGGGAGAAAAGAAGCGAAAGTGAAGGGTTGGGTTTGGTTTTTTCATGCCACAAAATCAGGTAACAATTGCTCTGCAAACCTCTTCCTGTTTTGCATCTCAAAGGTGGTGGAATGAGAAGCTTGTTGTGCGTTGTTGCTCGAACAAAAATCAGATTCTGCTGTCCCTAACTCTAGCCTTCTTCCTATCTGAATGTTCTGGTGGTGGTTCCCTGACGGTGACACATTCTCACAATGGGGAAGCCCAAGGGTGAGCGAAACACTGTTCCCGTGAAACCTCGGTGTCAGCTGGTTCGGATCGAATCTCCCCATATCTCCCATGGCATCACCGTATGTCGCAAATCCACCGCCGGGAAACGAGTAACTGTCCTTGGGAAGCCTTTCATCACCTTGCTTCATTTCCATGTCCATTGAAAGGATACTACTAGGGGAATTCTGCAGGTCATTAACAGTACCCCTTGCCTTTTTCGGGCTTCTTTGAGCTGCACCGTCGAGGTCGGACAAGCCGATGAGATTGAAGGCTGTTTGTGGCAGATATGAGGCTCCTCCCATGGGAGATATGGAGTTGGAAAATTGATCAGTAGGGGGAACATTGATGGAATTCTGGGTCTGGGATTGAGTTTTGACTTGTTCCATCATAAATGATATGTTCTCTTGGCGGACATTGGAGGTAGACCCAAACTCCTTTTGCCCAGTTTCGTTTGGGTTTGGTTCGCTGCCATTCTTTTCTTGTTCCTTGACTTCCTCCAAGTACATTTCTTCAACCATTGGCTTCCATAGCCGAACTCGAGCATTTATGAACCAGTTTGACACCTGCATTCCAAGTTGGGTTACACTTGCATCACAGTCCGTAAAATCCTAGAAAACTTACGGACCAAATCGTAGAAAGCTCCAATAGATAAATCCTAAACTTTAAATTTTACACTTTAAACGTGAACCAAACTAATTTAGTGATTAAAGGAGGGTTGTTATCCCATTAATAAGTAGAGGGATTGAATCCTAGAAATAAAAGCATGAGTAGGCGTGTAAATGAACAAAGAGTTCGATGAATTATTCGTGAACCGTTCGTATAATATTCATTTATGTTCGTTTATTAAACTAAATAAATGATTATAAACAAAAAATTTCATGTTAAACCTTTAGTCTCTAACCTTTAATTTTATATAATCTCATCTGTTAACTATTTCAATTAAATATTGATATGGATTTTATCTTAAAAATAATATTCTTTCAAACTCTCACATGAATGTTAATTATTTAGGTTAATTAATAATGTTAAAAAAAAACTAGTACAGAGACTAATAACGTATTTGAGTATAGTGCTGAGAGAAAATTTGAGCAAAGAATAACTATGAAAGAAGAGCAATATGTATGGAAACAGAAGTGAGAGCATGCACAAAAGACACACCTGGCTTCGTGTAAGCCCTGTTTGTTTGGCAAGCATATGTTTGTCTGAATCTTTAGGATACCTGCAGACAAAAATAAGAACAAAGTTAATTGAGGTTATATGATAGACATGTAATTAGAATATTTGTAATTTGTAGTTCATACGGATGAAGAAAATGCTCGAAAAGCCAAGCACGAAGGACGGAAACTGCTCGTTCGGGTAATCCTCTTTGGGGTCTCCAAGCACTGTGTTGGACCATTCCAAGCTGCTGCAACGCTCGCTGTTGCCGGAGCTGATGATCCACGTATCGTAGCCTTGAACCCTCCACTTTTGCACCCAAGCAATCCTCTTCTCCTAAAATCTTGCTCGTCGCTTTGATTTGTCCACATATCGCATCTTTCAGACACCGGAACTGCTTCGAAATCGTCTTCAAAGCAAGTGCAGTGTACGATTTCGCTGCACCGAGTCCCGCCGCCTGCTCGAACGAAGAAACCACTATTTGCATTTGATGATGGTACTGTTTGTATCTTTGCTCCACCTTCATAAACAAAGCGCCAGTAACATTAGTGGAACATAATAGATCTATACATAGAGATTACTGATTCCTTCAATTAATTAGCGAACCTCATCAAGCATGCTGATTTGTTTTGCTTTCTTCATCTGGAGCTCCTGTCTTTGTGCTGTGGTGAGCTCGGCTACACGTTTGGTCCCATCTTCAGCAGCACTTGAACCTTCCCCGATCACAGCAGCCACTGGTTCTTTGTTCATCTTTATCTTCTCCTTGGTCCCCTCAGACACGTCAGTCTTTAACCCTTTCCCCACATTAACCACTTCATCAAGAAGCTCTTGCGCTGCTCTCAAGTACTTTGATCCCAAGACCACACTCTGAGCCCCGGGAATCCAGTTTGAAACGACGGAAACCGACGAAGGTGAGTTCCCCGATATCCTCACGTCGTCGGCCAGTGACATGGTTGGGACTTGAGGTTGCTGTCCTTGTATGTCTGTTTCAACATAATTGCTCGACCTATTATAAGCCGCTTTATGGGATGATAAACTCAGGGATAAACCTTGCCTAGGAGACACCACCGGCAGACGAAACCCCGTCTGCGACGAGGTGACATCGTGGGACCCACCCGAGTTATTATTATCGGCTGCCGACACAAACTGAGGATAGCTAGTACTTCTTGGTGGAGAATTCTGATGATCAAGACTTGAAGTACCCCATAAGTTGGAGTGGAAACCGGGGACTACACCGTGAAGAGGCGATGAACGGTGGGGATCATCGGAACTGACCGGCCTTATGGAAACCGATGGCGGTGTCGGGAGAGGAAGACCAAGGAAGCGCTGATGGTTGTTAGGCGGTGGCGCTTGGGGTAAGCTTGTGGGGTTTAAGAAGAACATGTTTGGGGCGGCGGCTGGTTGGTGTGTATCGGAGTAAGGAACGTAGTTGGGGTTCATAAGAAAAAGCGTTTGCATCCCATCAGGTGCAGCAGAAGCAGTTTGGAATTCCGAGCTTCCATGAAAGTACGTCGCCATCTTGATTTGTAAAAAAAAAAAACCAACAAAAGAAGAAAAAGAAATCCCACTTGTACCAGTACCAGCGTACGGATACTACACAAGTTCTTTCACCGGAAAGACAAGAGATTGACTTGAAGTGAACATATCAGCCCATTTTGATGTTCAATTCAAAACCTGGGAAAAAACAAAATGAAACCCAAAGCACAGATAAGGAAAGATGATGGAAAGATTTGATCTTCAAAAGTCAAAACAAAATTAAAAAAAATAAAATCAAAGGAAAATGATCAGTTTCCGATAAAGAATAAAAAAAATCGAGAGGGGAAAGGAAGCCGTCAAAGGATGTTGCAGAGACAGGCAAAGTACCATATTCCAATCCAATTATGGCTAAAAACACATGAGAGAAGATGCATATCTGTGAGAGTCAGCACACATTCTCTCATGGGGGGAAAAACTATATTCTGCAGATATTGTCAGCCTTTGCTATTTTTCTTACGGTTCATAAATAATTGATGATAACTAAAAAGAAAATAGAAAGAGATGGTGGTTTTGATGGGAGGGGATTTTGATTAAATAAGAAAAATAATTAAAATTCACTGTTTACTCAATAGTTTACCATCCCTTTCTTTTCATTATTTATATCCCCAACGGTGTTAGGTAGCAGCAAGATATTTCAAGTGAAATAAAAAAGAAATGGCAGTGGGGGCATGCAGTAGCATAAACAAGCATGCAGCTGGAAAACGAGGAAAAGTCCATAAAAAAAGGGTTTTTTCTTAATGAACCGAAGAAGAAGTGGCAATGGTTACAGATTGGAGTCATTCACCTTTGGGTCTTGTTTGCCTTTTTTTTAAAGTGTTATTATATGTCCTTTTATATTGCATTTGCTTCATTTTTCATCTTTATTTTACAATTGGATGCCAAAGAAAGAAGATAAAGCACTTAAGTAAATTAACACAATGACATGATGGAGTTGTCTATTTGTTAAGAAGAGCATGCTTATCTCGTGTAATTACCTTCAGCTTTTCCTTATTGTTTCATATACATCTCATTTTGTTGTACTTGTACATCTACTATATACAAATTTGAACCATCCTCTTCAATCTCAACAAACTCTACGTATAGCTTGATATTAACTATAGAATTGGCATTGTATGCGTCAACCATCTCATAAACGTTAACATCAATGTTTAAATAAATCTCTCATCTTCATCCGTATTCAACCTCACAAACCAAACTCTCATATCTGACATTGATTTTTGATTCAACGTGTCAACCACAATATTAACTTTACTCAGATAATAATCGATAACACAATCATAATCTTTGAATAATTCAATCCACCTTTGTTGTCTTCAGTTTAGCTCATCCTGCGTGAGCAAGTACTTAAGGCTCTTATGATTGGTATAAGTATAACATTTCTCCCCAAAGAGATAGTGTCTCTAAATCTTCAAGACAAAGATTACTACAAGGAGCTATAAATCTTGAGTAGGGTAATTGCACTCATGTAAATTAAGATGTTGTGATGCATAGGCCACTAGATTTCTCTTTTGCATAAGAACACACCCAAGATCATTCAATGACACGTTATTGAAAAATACATAACCTTCCTTGATTCAAGCTAAACTAACACGATCATTTCAATCAAGATTGTCTTTAATCGATAAAATTTTGTTATCTCTCGGTTCCACTCAATTGAAGTTCCTTTTTGTAACAAATTAGTCATATGGATAGTGATCATTAAAAACTTCTTGATGAGGCATCTATAATATCCATCAAGTCTAGAAAACTATGAACCTCAAAAATATTTTGTAGTAATTTCTAATCAATCACTATTCGAATCTTCTGCAGTGGTTTTCAATACTGAAAATTAGATTAAAATGAAAAAAAAAACCCCTCAAAATTAATTTAGTCCCCAAATTCCATGCCATACTAGTGAAGGAAAAGATGAAACATTTCATCATCTTCCTCAGTGAACCTTGAATGTAAGCTTATGAACCATATCTGAGGGAAACCCTAAGTTAACTTTAATTTAGTGGTTCAAATCCCAAATTGAACATAGATTTGGAAAGCTCATGCTATTAGCTACCATTGATATCATTTTATACACCATCCAAGTAGTAGAAAGAGAGTTTGGTGGAAACTCCTAATCACAAAGGAAAAGCTAAAGTTGTTGATTGACTCGTTGATGTTAGATGTAGCCTTATAAGGACCCCCCATAATTCAGCTTCCACAATAGTGCATATGCCTATGTATTTCGCAAATCCTACAATCCATTCACCTGAGCTTCCTCGGATTACTCCTCCGCATGAAGCCATTCCTTCGTTCAAAGATCTTGCACCATCGGTATTGAACTTAACACACCCTTGCGGTGGTGGCATCCATCTTATTTGTTCTCCGTTCACATTCTTCTTCCCACTTGTTCCATTCCTCATTGTCTTGTTTGCTGCGTAGCTTTCGTTTTGCGGTCTTCTACTATGCTCCAACACTGATTCCATGTGAGTGCTTTCGGGGTTAAAGATGCATGCAATCTTATTTTTTGTTGATATATATATTATCATTTCTGTTTGAAGTTGATAAAGGAAAGCAATATCATTTTTAAATTTTAAATATAAATAATCTTATAACAACATATCCAACGTTGATCTAATCTTATAATTTTATTTATGAAATTATTTTGTATAATAAAAATAAGTGGATTAAGCTTGAAAACAGATGACAAGTGGACTTTAGGTACTAATTAAGAATACTAAATGAAAATGAGGAATATACATAACAAGTGAAAAAGGTAATTAAGTAAAATTGTTTGACTAATTAAAGTGAGAATCTATCTCTGTTGCCATCAACATATGGAACAGCCAATTTTAGATGGACACGCATCTAAGATCTCTTAATTTATGTTTACCCGTGTCCCTTAAATTATTGTAATTAATTAACCCAACCTAACACCTAGTCCATCATTATCAAATATTTTAAAGGTAAAATATGTTTATTATCTATCTTTTAATTTTATCAATCATATCAATTAATTATTTTAATTATTTCAATCAAGTTACTAGCCGTTAATATTTAACGGAGAAAGTGACGTGATAATTAAAATATTTAATATAATTACATCATTGTTACTTGTATATTCTATTAATCATCGCTTTTTCTCTTTTGAAATATAAATTTCAAATTTATCATTATTTTTTTTAAACTTAATTTTTTTTAATTCATGTACATGTGCCGACAATACTACTCGAACTCATATTATATAAAAATAATAATACGTCATTTATCATCAAAATCGCTCCCTAAATTATATTATATTTGATAGGCAAAAGTGGTTGAATAATACAATAAAAAAATCTTCACATAGTGCAGTTGAAGAATTATTTACTTAAGTGGGATGATTGCTACAGTGACCACCATAGGTCTCTAGGAGTACACGGCGACCCATAGAGCACACGACGATCTATGGAGCACTTGGCGACTTATGGAGCACTTGGCGACCTATGGAGCTGCAACAGCGAGGGAAGAGAGAAGAGTTGTTGCAACAGAGGAGGTTTTATCGCAAAAAGCACTTGGCGACCTATGGAGCACATGACGACCAATGAGATCACTATAACAAACATTCTAATTCAAAAATTAATTTTCTTAGAGAATTTTTTTTCCCAACGCTTTGGCGAGGAAGCCATATTTGACAATTCAACTCCTACGATGACACTGACGCGACATGCTTTTGGACTTTCCCCACCACTCCTGTCCACTGCTCCCTTGTCTTTCCCTTCTTCCTTTTCATTCATTCACCTTTATATATACACACACATTTGCCTCTTCGGATATCTTTAATATTCCTCCCCCAACATTGCTGCATCTTTGCTTAAGAAATCGTATAAATTCGGACTAATGGTGGTAAAATATTAGGGTTCTATAAACAGTGTAAAAAGTCCAAGATATATTTAAATTCTAATATATAAAAAGTTACTGAATTGTGTGGGTAAAATACTAAAATATAAAAAGGCTGATGAATGAGAGGGGAGGGGACAGAAGAGTAGGGTTAATAATAATGGTTGCCCATTCATTCAATAAGCCGCAAGATGTGGGTCTCGCCTCTCGCAAATGTCATTTTCTCACCAAAAGCCTCGCGAGACACGCAAGCGTACCACTAGCATTCGCACTTGCTGCTTCAGTCTATGGTTTTTTCCCCTTCTCCCATTAAAGAACATTTTTCTTTGGAGCTAGCCAGCAATTAAGTTATATTTAACATTAGTCTTAAGAATATGATCATTTAGGTAAACAATACTTACTAATTACATCATATGTAACTCTTTTATTTGGTGTACAACATTGATCTCAATCGTCATATGATTATCAAAATTTCTGATCTTTAGATTTTTAACCCTATCAATATAACCTAGTTAAGTTATTAACCAATATTATGACCAGAAAATATCATTTGTTTAGTCCTCGTGTTTGACCAAAATAATTATATGTACTCCACTTTAAGAAAACACACATGTATTGATGATTAAGGCTTTAACGAAGGTGAACATTAGAAGATCATATTACTTATTTTATAATTAATCTTTATCGTACAGCTTATTCATTAATTGATTTTATCAATTTGTTGCTATTAGTATGTTTATAGTCGTCCATTGTATCACATACATAACAGTAATAAATTAATTCAGTAGTTATAACTCGTGATTTAAGGTAATATTTTCCCTAAGCTAATGGAAAAACTTAAGGGAAATTAATTTAATTTTCCAATTTTATTATTTTCAACAATTTCATTAATGAAGCCAATTGTGACAAGAACATGTGAAGAAGCATGCTTGGTCGTCAAACAGCCCACATATGTTTCACCGTCGGGTCGCCAAATTATATTCCCATTGCACTAAATCCAAAGCTACTTATAAATAATTCAGTCAATTGGCATATTTTCAACGTAAAGGTTAATGCTAGCAACAACATATACGTACCCCCATAGTAATAGACTTGAGAAGCTATTGAAAAAACCCTAACTTCTGCAAGTACAAATTAAAATTACCGGATTGAAAGGGAAATGGAATAGACCAGACTTCAAATATACTGTATATATGTTTGTTCATTTCGGATTAACATTTAAAACATTTACGAATAGTATAAATAAATGATTTTAGTTGTTAAAAGAACGAGTGTTATTTTTAGAGGTTATGGTCAGGGGCATGACCAAGAATTTATTAAGGTGGAGTTTAAAGTATTTTTCATACATATAATTTTTTTAATTGAGGGGGACTGGATAAATTTTTCTTTATATTTTTTTAATATTAAATAATAATTAAAAAATTGGCACGAGCCAAGAGGAGACATATAATTTTTTTAATTGAGGGGACCAGATAAATTTTTCTTTATATATTTGTAATATTAATTAAAAATTAAAAATTGGAGGAGGCCAAGGAAGATCCACCGGTGGTTATGGGTTTGAATATGACGTTTGTAGGGTGTTTGAGTTGT